GAATGGTGGTGTATGGGTTCAAGTGCAACATCGAAGAAATCGTATGAGCAGGAGATGAAAACCGATTGGCATCCCTGGAATATCTTTTCAATTATAGCACTCTTTCTTGATCCACAGTCACCTATTCGTGTCTAAGCAGGATAATGTTCTTTGAATCTTTTGGATAAAACACGCATCGAACGACCTCTATATTCTGCTTGCTCCATATGAGCAAGTAAATTTGAAGATACACATAGAAGTGGCCAGATGCGATAGTTTATATTTGGAGTTGTTGAAGAACAGTGGGTGGCTTCAGAATACCAATCATAATGTAGCAGTAGGAAATGTTCTTTTCTAAGCATTAGATATTCTTCTCTTTAAGATGTCGACCCGAAGGTCGGCTTTGAACACCACATTCATTTGTAGCGTCTTCTTCGGCACAGAGATGGGTTGTTTTTTGTTGATTTTCGGCTTTATATGCTTATCCATAAAGCGTGTTGGATGGCTATTTTCAAGTAGTCTTCCACAAAAGACTGACCTCCTCCTCTACTGATTCGCTGCTGCATATTCTTCGGATTCTAGTCGCAAGAGAGAGTATCAGGTTCTGCCTACAATTGATGCGTGCCCAATTGTAAAAGTTTGTCAGCTGGCCATTCCACGTAAGCTTCCGATATATTGATCTCTTTAGGGTCATATCAGCCTTCTTTGTTGGTCGGATATCTAGAAATGAGATTGTCTCTCCGGTTTCCGCTTCACTTGCAAGTTTGACAGCTGGGTGACGGCAATTAAAAATCTGAAGGACCTTATTTAGGTCACATTTTTTATCACAGTTGATAAAAGTGTCATCAACGTACTTTTTGTACAGAGAGAAGTTGTAATCTGTCAGTTTCAAAGGACACTTTTCCAAACTTGCCATGAATATATCTGCAAGTAACGGGCCTAAAGGTGAACCCATAACCACACCATCTTGCTGTCTATAAATAGTACCATTGAATGTGAATTGAACGTTCAAACTTCGTCTAAGTAAAAGTTCTTTTAACTTGGGTGTAAGTATTCCAATATTTAAGTCATTGTCTTCCAAGTACTCGCCTAAAAAAGACATCGCTTCCGTAATCGGAATATTTTTGAAGAAGGATTCTACATCGAGTGATATCATTTGGTTGTCACCCACTTTCACATCTTTGATACAGTCGACGAATTCAAACGTGTCTCGAAGAGAGAATTTTGAAATTTTTCTTTTAACATGCTGCAGGAGTTCTGAGAACCATTTTTAAATTAGATGATATAGAGATCCGGAGATGTCCAAAATAGGGTGCAAAAGAAGTTACCGTTTGTGGGTTTTGGTTAATCCGTATCGTCGGAATATTACTGAACCAGTTGGTCGAATGCTCTCGTAGACCTTTTCAGAGATAAGTTGATCACTTTTAAGCTTCCTCAATATCCCAATGAGTGGCTTTTCTGTTATTTCTGTTTTGTCTTTCTCTTTGTTAGGTGCAGCGAACTTGTTGTTTTATCAATATAGTCCTTTCTATCCATTAGAACTATGCCAGTGCCTTTCTCAGGGAGTGTGATCAGCAATTTCTTGTTACGTCTCAGTTGATTGAGCTGTTTCGTGTTCTTCAGTCAATAGATTATTGCACTTCGACTTTGTATTGAGGCACTGATGGCATCAGTCTAGAATTGTTGACTTGAAACGTTTGAACACCTACTTCTTCAGAGATTGGGTTTAAGTCACTAGTCTCATTTTCACATTCTACACATCTATATAGCTTGCTTATGTTTTGGTTCATTTCGAAAAATTTTGTCCTGAAAGATAAGGCCTCCAGTTGTACAGGAGATAAAGTTACTGGAGAGTGATTGAGCACAAATTTGGCAGGATCTCCAGGAAACTTGCGTCTTATTTCAATGGCTTTTAGTCCACTTAATAGGTCTGAATGGACAGCTCTTTTGCGCCTCTCTGTAACCATACTCATGCACTCAATGAAAGCCTGGCGTTCATCACTTGACAATTCACATAACGCAGAGGATCACTGTCATATGTTTCTCTCCAGTTCTGGGGCACGCAAAAGAATGGAATCAATTTGGTTCAAATTGTGACGTTTAAGAGATTTAGAGTTATGTTAAATATGATTGCGACGAAGAGCTTTCCAATAACACTTTGGATATCCATGGTTATCTATGCAATCTCTGAGAAAATCGGTATTCGCATTGACTTCTGCAAGCGTGACAGAATAGTACAGAAACCCATCAAGTTCTACCTTCGCTGTCAAAGGTTCCTGGTTAATTTTTAATTCATAAAAAATCCCCATTCGAACATTTATAGACAGAAGACCAGTAGTTCAGCGAAGAGTCTGTGTGTATACATCAGTTCACCTGCTGCTGTGGAGCCAGCCAGGTACATCGGTCGTTCAGCGCGCATCCTGTCAAAACATGTCAAAGAACACTATCCAGCGTGGCTGCAGAAAAGAAGTAGTGGCTGTACAAGGAGTGCAATAATCGAACTTCTCGTCACCACTACAGGTCATTCTACCTCAACAAAAGGCTCCTTCAAAGTAATCACAAAGTGAAGAACAACCTGCTAAAGACAATACTTTTGCGTCTTCCTTGTACTGCAGAAGCCCTAGCTATTCAGTTAGAAGAACCAGAACTATGAATACAAAAGAAAATTATTCAACCACTTCTACTATCATGGTGACAACTCTGTTGATTTGACTTAACTTTTGCTTGTTAACTTAAAACTCTTACATAATTCTGTATTTTATTTTGTCTTCATGTTCACCCTGAGCACAACTCTTTCATCAAACTATTCATGTTATTACGTAACTCTTCTTTAACAATCGTTTATGACAACTCATCACTTTTGTTACTACTCTCTTACATCAACATCCAATTCACTTGAACGCCTTTTGTATTATGTAACTCCACCAAAAACTTACTAATTGTATTTTCGTTTGACAAATTTAATGTACACACACACATACAAAACAACCACATATATTTGCGATTGTACAGCTATCAAAAAATGAATTCGTTGCCGGAAAAAGGAGACTCTTCGCTGAACTACTACTGGTCTTCTGTCTATTAATTTTTAATTCACGGATAATACCCATATTAATGTCTGAATGGATCCAGAGACAACAGCTGACATGATGATGGCACTACTGGAGAAGGTTTGGAAAAAAAGCAAAGTAGCCGAGGATTGGAAGAAAGGATACTTATTCAAACTACCAAAGAAAGGAGACCTAAGTCAATGCAAGAAATGACGCGGAATTATGCTCCTGTCTATCCCAAGCAAAATACTAAGCCGCATCATCCTAGAGAGAATCAAACACGCCAACCTGGATGAAAAACTTCGACCGGAACAAGCCGGATTCAGGAGAAACAAGTCATGTATTCATCAAATCGCCACACTATGGATCATCATTGAACAAAGCCTGGAATGGCAGTCACCTCTCTATCTCAACTTCATCGACTTTGAAAAGGCCTCTGACAGCGTCGATCGAGAGGTGATTTGGCAACTACTTCGCTATTACGGGGTGCCACCGAAAATTATACATCTCATCCAACAGCTGTACGACAATGCTGCATGCCGAGTAATCCACAACAGGAAACTAACGGAATCCTTCGAAGTGATGACAGGAGTAAGAGAAGCTGGTTGCCTACTATCGCCAATGATTTTCCTGATTACAGTAGATTGGATAATGCGACAAACAGCGGGCAATGAGGAAACAGGCATAAAATGGGCTCACACAAAAAACTTGGAGGATCTGGACTTCGCCCTTGATGATATATGTCTGATTTCCGACAAACTGGAAGATATGCAAGCGAAAAGCAACAAGATGGCAGAAAAAGCGAGCATCAAAGACAGGACTTCAAGTGAACACAGAGAAAACAGAGGTGATGAAGATTCCTGGACAAGAATAACAACAGACAACAATCAGCATAAATGGAAAGAACCTGAAAGAAACAACCTCTTTTATTTACCTTGGAAGTATCGTTTCAACTACTGGTGGACAAAACTTATGAGGATATCAAAGAGAGGATCGGTAAAGTAAGACAAGCTTACATCTCTCTCAAGTTTGTGTGGAGGTCAACAGTCCTCAGCATCAAAAATAACATCCGGATTTTCAACTCCAATGTGAAGTCACTGCTACTATACGGATCAGAGACTTGGCGCGTCATAAAGAGCACCTCAAACAAACTACAGACCCTCATCAACAGCTGTCTTCGCTCAATGTAACTCAAGATCAGATGGCCGGAAAAGATCAGCAATAGGGATCTCTGGCAATGAGCGAACCAACCAGAAACCGATTGGGAAACAAATATGCAGGAAGAAATGGAGATGGATTGGCTGGCCATACTCTGAGGAAACCATCAAGTGAGTGACATCACTAGACAAGCCATTGCTCGAGTGGAACCCGGCTGAAAAGGAAGCGGTGAGTTGGTCGTCAGTGTAAGGGTGACTTGGAAGAGGTCATGTGAAGAGGAGATGAAAACGTGTGGGCAGACTTGGAGCCAGGTGAAGACTCAAGCAGAAAACCGAATGCAATGAAGACGCACGGCTGAAGCCCTATGTTCCTCTTGGAATTAAAGGAAACAATAATTTAATAATAATGTCTGAATGGGTATTTTCCGTGATTATTAGAAGAAAAAAAATATTTTCCAACCTTTTGAAAACTACTCTGTAATTATAGCCACTTCTTAGACAGCAACTGTCTGGAGAATTGGTTATACCGGAAGGATTTTACTTTCTCACGCTGAACCTTTTATTTCTAGGTTTTTTCTTTCACAATTAACTGTCTGAGAAAATGGACACTTAATAAATTTGACGGTAGACATGCCCTAGAGACTTCCGTAAGACTAAAAAACAAACTTTTACCAAATAAAAACGGCATACAATCATAAAAATACTTGAATGTGTTTTTAAACAAGCTACTTTAATACAATTCAATATTCAATGTGTATAAAAACCAGTGATGGAAAGGCGGTTTTTTCGTTTGTCTGTTTTTCTATGGAAATTATTAGTAAACACTTTCAGACGTCAAATTTTCCCAAATTCTCTGAAATCTTTGTCTTCTTGCATCTTTATTGCAATTTCTATGAGGGGAAAAAACAAAAACGATGAAGAGGATGTGGAGGAATATTAGTGAAGTTTTAAGTATAATTCTTGATGCATAAATTGATCACATTTATAAGATTTAATTCCAGTGGTATAATTCAATAGCTTCTCTGTTATGGCGTCTTTGTGGTAATCTATAGAAAATCAAAACAAATGATTCAGCGAAGAGACTCTTTTCAACAACGAATTTATTATCAAGCTGTACAATCGTATATATATGGCTACTTTTAAGAAGTTATATCCGGTGAGGGAATTGAAACATAGGTGTGAATGCATAAAATAATAATAATATGAAGTGCAATTAAAACTAAAATGTTTGTGATTATAATCGTAGTTAAATATCAAGTGGCAAAGCAAATTAATGTCCGTGCTGCATCCCTGAGAATAGCCTTTACTAGTGAACCATTATTGTTCAGTAACCTGAAGGACAAGATCCCACTGTTGACTGTGTGTTTATCAATTCACCTGCTCTTGTGTAGCTAGGTATATCGGTCGTTCGCGTCAAGTTTTGTCCAAGAGGGTGGAAGAATACTATCCTGTATGGCTGTTACGAAGAGGTGGAAGTGGAGCAATAAGAAGCGCGATCATTGATGAACATCTGGTCGATAATGATAACCCTATCTCTATAGTCTCCGCCTTCAAAGTCATCTACAAGGCAAAAAGTAATTTACCCAAATCCCTACGTACCCGACTCATCTGTATTGGTAAAGCCATTTTTGGCTATCGAAACAGAAAAGCCAGATCTCCGTGTACAGAAAACGTTGATTCAACCCCTTCAACTTTCATGGTCTTAATCCCTCTATGCTAAAGTATGGTAATCCCCAATCGTATTTTAGCTCTACCAATTTTTCATTTTTTCATTTTTGTCTATTCAATTTGTATACTCTTCCTTATTAAGTCAATTGTTACTATTACTACTCTCACTTTTAATTGTCCCCGGTATTATTTCACTTGTTCCACTTGTCATTCTAAATCAATTCTTCTTTACAACGTTAAGTTCTATGCTATCAAATTTCACACAATATTACGTAACGTTTTAATTTTTCGATTTGTCTACTAATCTTATAATTGCACACCTTTTTCAAGTTCTATCCATCCTACGAATTATTCTATATATGACATTAATTTGCTTTGCCACTTGACATTTAACTACGATTTAGTTTTAATTGCACTTCATATTATTATTATTTTATGCATTCACGCCTATGTTTCAATTCCCTCACCGGATATAACTTCTTAAAAGTAGCCATATATATACGATTGTACAGCTTGATAATAAATTCGTTGTTGAAAAGCGTCTCTTCGCTGAATCACTTGTTTTGATTTTCTATATGTTACAATGGGAATTTTCCATGATTTGTGATAGTCATCCACAGAAACTTGAAGTCACATAGTGGATAGTGACTAGAAGTGGAATCCACCAGGACTCGCATTTCATCCAATTGAAGGCTCGTCATCTGGGTGTACCAGCATTCCCGAGTGTGTTAGGAAGTGATGGTGTTCCAACCGAGGATCGAAACCAGTGCCCATGGTTTCAAACGCCAAAGTGCTACCCCCTACACCACTTGGGCCAAGAGAGCTACCTCTTTCTTGTGGAACTGGTTTCATTAATTACTTAACTGAATTTTAGATTTTCCCGTCCCGATTGATTGGACCAAAGTGGTCGGTCTCAGGTTGACATTTCAGCTCTTTGTGCAGGTGCTTCGACGATGTCTGGCCATGTAACTTGAATCAGAAGGAGAATGAAACTTGCTGAGATGGTTCTGAGTTAATGAACCAGATTTGCATTCTATCCTCAATTATCACTAATCACATAGCTGACAATCTGCCAACCCAAGATTTGCTTTAGGCTCTCAAAAGGAACCCAAATAGGAGACAACGAGTTGGGCATAAGTTCGAAAGTGTGACTCGGCGGGAATATCTAAATTGAATTAAACAATAATTTAGACCCATAGCACAAGAAAGAGGTGGCTCTCGTGACCCAAGTTGTCTAGTGCATAATGCTTTGGCGTTTGAAACTATGGGCTCTGGTTTAGAGCTTTGGTGTGAACACCATCACTTATTCGTACACTGGGGAATGCCCAGATGACGAGTTCCAAATTGGACGAAATGTGCATCCTGGTGAATTCCACTCCTAGTCACTATCCACCGAAAGAATTCAAGTTACATGACCATACATCGTCGAGGTATCTGCACAAGGAGCCAATATGTCAACCTGAGACGGAGCACTTCGGTAGAATCAATCGCCAGAAAAATCTAAACTAAGTGAAAGCTACAAAGACTGTATAAAAACCAGATATTGAGATCAAAGGCTAACTAACTAATCAGCGTGAAATGCTACACATAAACTCATGTATTTAATACCTGAAGAAAGCATACTTAAATGAAGATAACAGAAATTTGGAGAGAATAAAGGATGCACTGGATATAGAACTCTGCCAGCCGGAAGAAGTTGGATTCAGGAAAGACAAATCCTGTGCTGATCAAATTGCAACTCTACGCATCGTCATCACAGAGCAAGGCATAAAATGACGGTCAAACCACACTCCACCTCAATGTCATCGACTTTAAAAACGCCTCCGACAGTGTAGACCAAGAAGTAATTTGTAAACTATTTCAACACTACAGTGGACCTCAAGTCTTTGTGAACTTCATTCAACAGAAGAATGTATGACAATGCTTGTCACGTGTCAGGTGATCCACAACGAAAAACTCGATGAGGCTACTGCAAACACCTGCTCGCTTCTCTGGCTTCATAATGAATGTCAAATGGTCAGAACGAATAAGTAACAAGAAATTATGGTAAAAAACCAAAAGTCAAGAGCCGATCACTCAACAAAAATGTAGAAGAAAGCGGAGATGGATCGGGCATACGTTGAGGAGGCCATCGAATGACATCGCACACCAGACAATGCCTCGAGTGGAATTCCGATGGGAAGCGACGAGTGGGTCGTCAGTGCTAAAGTGACACGGAGGAGATTGAGTGAGCTGGAAGAGATAACAGAGTTTGGACAGTCGTCGATCCAACTGAAAAGGATGGCAGAAAATAGAACAAAGTGGAGATATGCTCAAGCTGAGGCTTTATGTTCCCCTTGAAACGCAAGGGAATAATAATAATATTGAGACTGGAATGAGGAAATCTTGAGTTTAATTATTATTATCAGTATTTCCTTAGGTTCAGAGTGTAACGAAGAGGCTTCAGAAGAACATCTACACTTTACACTTTGTTCTCTACAGTCTCTTTCAGCTGGCTTGAAGATTGACCATAAGCTTTCATCTCCACCTCACACGATCTCATTCATGTCACTCTCGAACCCATGCCCAACTCCAATTGGGGTTCAGGTTGAGGGCCTAGCGCGAACCCTGGGTTGGTAGATTGTTATTCATGTGATCAGCGATAAGTGAGGATAGAATGCGAATCTAGGTCATTAACTCAAGACCATTTCAGCAAGTTTCGTTATCAACCAACAACCTACTGTTCTCCTTATGATTCAATGTAGTTAGGATTGACATAAGAAGATCTGGCTAGTGTGACGATAAACGGATAGTAACATATCGCAAATTCACATGGTGACTGAGCATTACTGGTGTTGCTGATTTTAGTGAACAGTTGATGTGATTAGTGGTCGAGTGTTTCATCTCAACTGGTAGTAGTAATTTGGAGACCGCCACTGGTTTAAGTTCTGCCAGGAAGCAGGGTCCAATTACATCAATAAATAGTGACTACCCATCGGGAGGACACTGATATGATGCAAGGAATAATTTAGAGAGGAATGAATGCTGAATATATTTAGAACTTGAAGGGCGGTGAAAATTAAATGAGTCTTCACTACTATGAACAACTCTGAGTGATCTCCCAGAGAGCCACTAAGTTACATTTCTTTGCATTTTTTGATGTGGTTGTGTTCTCTGAGCTGGAGAGTTAATCTGCGAAGCTTTCATCACCCTACTAGGTGACATCTTCAGCGCATACTTCAATTTGAAGTGAGCTTTCAGATTTCTCCATGAGTTTATTACTCATCTCTCCTGGTGACCTTGAACATGATTGGTTGCTTTCATGTGTTTTCACACCCTCCAGGCTACTTGTATTGGAAATGATTGTTTCTTTGATTTGAACTTGGACTCTTTGTGTGTGAGGTTTCCTTCTTACCGGTTGATCAATTTTGTCAATCTCGATGTGTCTATTGATTGATGATTCACTGGAATGCCAAGCTTCTAAAAATTCTCTAGCATTCTTGTTGTTTCCTCTGTCTAATATTTGAACGTTGTCCCAGTCGAATTGATGCCCGTGGTTGTCTGTATGTAGTGATATGAGGGAGTGGACGTCATGTCTCTTGATGGCTAGCTTATGTTCGTGGATACGAAGACGAAGGGGACTTTCACTTTGGCCAATGTAATGTTTTTCGCAGTTGATACAATTTATTTTGTAGATGATGTTGGTTTTATCTTCTTTCTCTATTGAGTCTTTCGGTTGACATAGAACTGAGTGAAGTGATTTTGTTGGTTTGTGTGCGACGTCAATTCCTAAAGGTTTGACGAGTCTTGCAGGGAATTCTGGTAGATCCCTTATATAAGACAGGGCGATTTTCTTTATGCTTTCCTTGGGTCCTTTTGGTTTGATAGGTTGCCTTGGGGGGTATATGTCTTTTGATGAAACTCCGTCGATACCTATTCTTTTGGAAGAGAGGAAACAACAAGAATGCTAGGGAATTTTTAAAAGCTTGGCATTCCAGTGAATCATCAATCGATAGACACATCGAGATTGACAAAATTGATCAACCGATAAGAAAGAAACCTCACACACAAAGAGTCAAAGTTCAAGTCAAAGAAACAATCATTTCCAATACAAGTAGCCTAGAAGGTGTGAAAACGCACAAAAACAACCAGTCACATCCGAAGTCACCGGAAGAGATGAGTAATAAACTCGTGGGGAAATCTAAAAGCTCACTTCAAGAAATTGAAGTATGCGCTGAAGATG